GGAGCACAGAACTTAATCTATGCTATTTGCTGTGAAAGTCAGCTCAGCTGCAAGGAGAAAAGCCCACCAAATCCAGAAGCTACAGACTAAGAAAACCAAAGCCCACTCTAAGTATTTTTTTCACTTACTTTGTACCTAGGATAAGCAAGGGCATGGTATTGTAGGCTGCAGAAGGTCATGGGGAGGGCAGGCGTTCACAGCTCAGCTTTGAGCAGGGATACCTCTGCACAGCGTCCGCAGCTGAGTGAGAAACTTCTGTGTCTGCACTGAATCGGGAAGGGGTGATACAGGCGCAGTGACTGTGCTGCAGAAGAGAGAATGGGCTTAATTCAGTGCCATGCGTGCACGTCTTCTTCCAGCCAGACAATTTTCCTGTTAACTCTGGTGGGAGCAGGACTGCACTTTGAGCATAGCAACAATTTTCGTTATGCAAGTCCTGCTGCCTCCTGTGGCACAGCTTTACCCAAGTGTTAGAAAATCTGATCATGGGAGGATGTCACTGCAGGGCACCCCACTAATTAAACAATTTTATGAAAAACTCTAAGATTTCCCAGGTCAGATGCTTTATCTCTCAAAGTAAGTAATGGGCACTGTATTCTTGTCAGACCGCTGGCCAGCAGAACTTACTTTGCTTAACTCATGCCACCTTGCTGGGCTAGCAGTTACAAAGCGGCGTGCGTGGAAACCACAGCAATTGCTGTCATCCTGCAGATGTAGGTCCCTTGGAAAAGTAGGTGCTGGAAGAGGGAAAAATACTCTTGGAAAGATTCAGTGATTTCCCATTATACAATCTTTCTGACTCCTGCATAAAAAGCCTGCATTTTTAGATTTGGGCCAGACAGATTTCTGTTGGTCAGTCAAATAAGCTTCTACAGAAGAAGGTACCTCCTGTGGGAGGATTTTTTGTACTTGTTGCCTAAAGCACTATTTTCCATGAAAACTACTTTGGTAGAAAGGTAAATTAGCCCTACCTACAACTAGGAAGAATCAGTTGTTGCACAATAGCTAGGACAATCAGCGTGCAAATAACTTAAATGGTTCCTAAGAAACAAGCATCTCTGCCAAACAGTTGTAATGGAGAGTACAATATATAGGTAACAGCAAGCCTTGGATTAGAATTTATTTCCTTTGCCCTCTCTACCCGACTATGGACTTACTGCCCATTACAGCTAGATACCAAGAAAGACAGCGAGAGACAACTCTGCTCCTGTAATCCCAGGGTCATATTGGGGCAAGAAAAGAGAGCAATGATCTAATGGTCTGAGGTAGAAATGGTCAAATTTTAATCCTGACTTTGCTAATTAATCTTTCTGTGAAGTCTTCCCTGCTAATGTTTCCAGTACTTACTTTCTTACCTCACAGGTCAAGATGAATATTAATTGCAATTTTTCTTGCTTATTAATGATCAAATATAACAGTGAAAGTTGCATGAGGAATATCGGCAGCTCCTCGCCACAAGCCACCTGGGGAGCCTCTGCCTTCACACCACCAGCTCGGGCCTTGGTATCTGCTTGGATCCTTTTGGTGGAGGCAAGGACGTTTGTCAGTGGCTGTAGGCTCCACCTTGTAGACACTATGCATCACGGTGCAGGACTGAGTCCTGCAGAATTAAGTGTTTAAATGTATGCAGAGGGTCAACTTGGAAAGAGCAGAATTTATTTACAGTACAGCTGGCCTGCAGTTGGCCTGCAGCACACAGAGCTGCTGCTTACATCCTACACAAAATAGATGACTTGGCTCTTGGCGAGTGCCACAGGTATTGCTAAAGAGGTGTTTCTTGGCTCATCCATCTCTTGCAAGGTGCAAAGTAACAGTGGCAGCTATATAAAGAGTTTGGGGGAAAAATAGCGACACATGAGTAATGGGGTAGTAAAACTCAGTTCAGTTACTTGGCACTTGCAAACTCACAGCCAAGTCCTGCAGCCTTAACTTGGGAAAAAAACATCCGGAGAAACCAAAGGGAGTTTTACCTTATAGATACTCTTGCCTGGGCTACCTGCTTTTACTAGGGATAGGTGTTTGGCAGTGAAGTTCCCTTTCTTTGGTTATGTGGATTGTGACTAAGGGCAAATATCTCCTCTTACTGTCATAACTGATCCAAAATTAATCAGAAACTTAAACAATTTAACAGCCAGATAAATCTGCCATATTGCCAACAGCTTATAAAATGCTGAAAAAACTATAATCAACTGCTAAAGCACCACTTAGGGAATGGAAGGGATTTATAAATAATCACCACAATAAACTGTTCCCTGCAATGAGGCACTCTCTTCTCATGTCTAGTATGTCCCTACTGGCTTCCCCAGTGCATCACCAAGCATGGATTACGGTCAAATAAATTTAGGATGAACATGACAATCTTAACTAAGTTTCCAAAAATGTGAATGACATGATCCTGTGAGAGAACAGGTGTGATGTATTCAATTCCACTAGAATACTCTGATTTCAGCAATGATTCAGTAGGCAATTTCTCAGAATAAATATATTGACAACAACGCTGTCAATAAGTACACACATATTATGTTTAGAATAAGATGTATCATTATGCAAATATAATGAGGAATAGTCATCATAGAACTCAAATTGCTTCCTTCCTATTTTCAACATAGTTTACATTGCAGTTAGTGTGATCACATTTTAAATTGTATTGGTTGTATCAGGTCTGGGGAAGATCCAGATTCAGACAAGCACGGGGTTACATAATCTTATTCTTATGTTTACTGACTCTTGTATTAAGTCAAGCTAGACTCTTAGCCTAATTTTGTTTTAGTTTCCAATATGATGTTGTTCACGTCTCTTTACAACCATGACGTTAGCACCAGTTCTCTGTTCTCTCTTTCTCATGTTTATCCTCAGATGTATTTCCAGTTAGTTAGCTCTCCAGTCACGCTTGTTAAAACTGGACTCTTTTAGCCCCCTATTGTAAAATTTTAACAGATGGTGAAAGACAGGATGTAACTGTGCTGGGGAAGAAATAGAAAAATAAATATGGCAGTATGACCTAGAACAGCAAAGCGAAGTGAAGCCAGAGGAGCAGGCCTATGGCAAGGCCTTTATTAATTAGCACAAGTGGAGCAGAAGGAAGGACGGCGGAGGGGCTGGAGCTGCAGCCACGTTAGTCTCTTCTCTTGGCTTAATCTGTGTCTGCACTAAAATAGAGTAAAAACCTGAGAGCCACACAGAGAGGAGAAGGATGACCAAACCTAAAAAACTAAACCCGTTTAGAAGACCTAAAAAAGGTGCAAGGAGGAGCTCCCTAGGCAGGAAGAAGATGAAACTTTAGGGAGGGAGGGAGATATGAATGTGAGCAGGGCTAGGTGCCAGCTGCAGGCAGAAGAAGAACCCATTGCAGCATCTGCAAAAGAGAGTAATGCAATTTCCCCAAAGAGCCAGCCTTCAGAGAGTTCTCTGGGCTTCCTTAGCGTGGTCAGAGGGATACTTCCTGATGGGGCGAATGGTCACCGCTGACATGAAAATGCAGGTTCCCTCAAGACTGCCAGTGATTACTTGCAGCCTGTTTGTATTCTTCGCAGGAGCGCTGAATGCATTCTCCATTCTGCCCTTTTTTCAGCCTCGCTTCTGAGCTTTATCTGCTGGACTTCTGTTCACCTCCTACATATTTTACCTTATGCTCTGGTTTCTCAACTAATCTTATTTATTGATGTATCAGTTTTTTTGAGAATAGAGTCTGCATGGTTTTTATAGCTGTGTGCACTGATCTTACATTTCATAATGGGTACTGCATTGAACAATTGTTAACTTTAGATGTTGTTGTCTGTTTGGCAAGTTACAATAATTTTTTTCTTCAATTTCCTTCTAATAGCCAGAGTGATTGAAGTACGTAGGTAAAATCTATCCCAACTTTCAGTGCAAGGCAGAGATATGCATGTTGTGAATAAAGACCAATAATGGTTCCAGTGTTTACTTGGACTTTTCTTTTTACATTAGAAAAATTTGATTTCGAGCATAGGAAGGGAACTGATTGTAATAAAAGCAGAAAAGTATTTATAGTATGTTCCTCTTATAAATAAAGCTGTTTTTGCCAAATAATGTAAGACATGGCATGTTGCATTGTTCTGTTTCTTTCATAATCCATGATGCCATACAGACTTAAAAAATAAGACTATTATATGGATTTCTGCAGGGTAATTGGCATTGACACGTGTATTGACTGAATAAATGAAAAAGCAAGCACAGTTCTGACAATCTTTGCAGATTTGTAAGATTACAGTAGTGATGATTCTATGTCAGCAAAAAAAGTCTATAGGAATTTCTAATGAATCCAGAGCCAGATCATTAATATACATATGTTTGAAATTGCAGCCCTAACAATTGAGTTCCCTGCACTGAACACTATAATATATATTGTTGTGAGCTATATGCCCTCAGATCATTTCTGTGAATTACAAGGAAATTATGGACTGGAGAACATTTTATTATTGTGCTTTTCATCCAGAAATACAGCCTTTCACTGATGAAAATTGAAAACAGTGAAAATTAAAATGTAAATGCATTTATCAAAAGAAGAGGAAAAAATTGAACCCTGAGCTTTAACTGCTTTATGATTTTACTTCTTCAGAAAGCAATTTTGCTATCTACATCTCAACAACATAAGTAGTCAGACCCTGCAACATCCATTTGGAGTCTTACTAATAAGTGACTGGCTGTTCGTTTCTAGAGGTCCAAAGGTTTGTTTTTGTAAAACTGCATTGAAAAATGGGTGGGGGAGGTGGGGGAAGGAACAGACAGACAGATAGACAGAGAGAGAAATTATTTTGTGTTTCTCTTCTTTCTGTTTAAGATGTTCTTTGTGTTTTTTTATAGATCAGTACTATACTAGATAGGATATGAGTTACTCATGTCTTTGTAGGGAAAAAAGAAAAGATGGAAAAGAAGCAATACACAAAATGAGCTTATTTACAATGAAATGTAGCAGTTAATAAACTGAATAAAGTGCCTATTTTAAGTTTAGTTGCTGATGGTTTATTTTTTTCCCTTAGCTTCAGGAAAAGAATATTGCTTTTCAGTTGGCCTCTTGCCTTGACTGATGAGATGTTAACAGCTCCTAAGAAGAAGAAAATCCATATGCCAAAGACGACCGTGGGCTCAATTTCCTACAGAGGAAGAGTGTTGGATGAAGCATGGAAGCAGGTAAGCTACGCAGCGAGTTGAAACCACATGCATCTCTAGTGCTGTTGAGTAATATAAAGAAACTAGAGGTTGATTGTATTACCTGAATGGAGACCATGCCCATTTGTGCAGTCCTTAATGTATTCACAGAATAGCTGAGTCCCTGTAGCTAAATTCCATGCAAATATTATGGAAGTGACACACATAGAGAATAGATATATCCTTTGTATAGCATTTCCAGCATTCTTGTAAATGTTTTCTTTTTATTTTTCTTAACGTTATAAAAATATTTTTTCCTAGTAGAGATTTTCCAAATTTCTCCATGCTGGAATACAGTCTGAGGCCCTCTAGGTTCATGTGACAAACGCCCTCCTCTCAGACTGGCATGGTAATAGGACCTCATGGGGAAACACCCACCCTCATGCAAGTAATGAAGAGGTATCGGAAGAACACACAGTCCCTGCTCTTTTTTCCTTTTCCTTTTATTGGCCTATGCAGATCAATGGTGGCCCTCACAAAATAGGTAGGTGCAGGTGCTGCAGGAGATGGTCTGGGAGGGACTTTGTCAGCTGTGCTGTCTCTTCCAGGCCTTCTGTTCCTTCCAGTCTGACACTCAGGTCCTCCTGCTGCAGAAGACAAGGAAGAGGAATAGGTGGATTGATTACTCAGACCTGTGCCAGAAGAACCATGTCCCCAATTACAACCTCTGAGCGATACTATAACCCAAGTAATACCTCCATGTGATTAGATAGAAAATCCTGGACTGGACAATTTTTATAAATTTAGAGACACTTTGATCAGCCCCTTATAATAGTTGTTTTTACCTTTTGCCTTCAATATGCTTAAATTATTCTCCATCCCCGTAGTAAAGAAGGCCAGATCCCAATTTTGATTTACCCTCCTACTGTAATATGACGAAAAGGGGGAAGGTGGCCTTCGACAGGGGGAAAGTGGCCTTGGATGGGGAATGCTATTAAACTGAGTGAATTCATTTATGTTTCTGCAGTTTCCTCCTAAGAGTGTCCTTGAGGAAGTCATTAACACAGGCCCATTAATTTCAGATGCCTCTTCCTTTTCTGCCCTTCGCTTGGAAGTATTCAAAGTGGGCATCCAAAATAGAGTAGACTTTTTGAAGCTTTGGCTTTGCCACATCTGTCTGTTTTAGTCTCAGCTGTTGTAGCTGGAAGATAATTTTCCTTTTTCCTTAATGTTGTTAAATAAGATTGAAATTCTAAGGTAGTAAACATAAGAAACACGCACAGTATTATACACAGCAGAATGGCTATCATAGCGAAATTGCCACTGGCTAAAATTTATTGCCATTTAGGATCGCAAATATTGAAATGGTTAAGAATTTTCTGAGTTAATATGTCAAAGAAAATAGCTCCTCAATTAAACAGATTTTTAAATTAATGGCTACTTATGTTAAAAATGTTCGTGGCTTTTTTTTTCAGAATGAAAGTAGAAAATCTGGTTTCATTTTCTTTCTTTAAAATAAGTTACTCAAAATTGTTCTAACTTTTTTGTACAAAACGCCCTCATCATTAGTTCTATTTACATATCTGACATTTCTTTTTACTTTGAAAGGATAATGACTTCAATACTTCAGATGCTTCAGACTGTGGAATATCTGGGGCTATCAAAACATGCAATAAATACAGCAGTCACAATTAGAAACACTTTGCTTTAGCATGTAAGCAAGTATTTCTATGAAATCATTGATATTCTTAGGATTTAACAGGCACGTTTGGCAAATGTATTTACATCTTTCTCATGTTTTATGCATTTCTTGTTCCAGCTTCATCTTTGCTATTTCTGTTCCCATCTTTCTTGAATTTATGATTAGTGTTTCTTTAGACAGCAAAACAATACATTCTAGATCAACAGTTATGCAAAGTCATAGCATTTTTGAGAAATAAAATAAGTAAATAAAATATCAGTATTCGCAGCAAATATTCTCCCCACGCAAGAGATCTTGTAGGCAAAAGCAATGCTCAGACTAAAATAATAACTGTCCAAGCAGGAAGGAAAAATGGGGCAAGAAATAGGTGTTTATGGAAAATTCCAGTTACTACCTGGATACAATTGATAAAGAGAACAAAAGAACTAACGGCATGGATTTAATGTATCAAGTTTCTCTTCTGCAGTTCATCTCTTCATTAATGGCCCATGAAAACTGAAGACCAGGAGATCTGGACCAAAGAACTGCCAGAGACTAAACCAAGCATTACCCCTTGAAAGATTGTATCATTGATGCTTTAAATTAAAACTTTATTGCCATTGTAAAATGTCTGTGAGCTACCCAGGGAAAATAAAATATAGGATTTTCAGAGAGTGGTCATTTTTTCAGCTAAAGAAGAAATGTCCTTAGTTCCCCTTAGGAACTGTGTGAAATGGAGCCCTTCATAGGCCTTCCTCAGCTTACGTTCCTGGCCAAAGACTGTTTAATCTTTTTCATCCACTTCTGTTTTCTTGTTCCTTTTGTAAGAAGATATGAAGCAAGCTTTGAGTCACATCCTAGGTATTTACTCTAACAGTATAGAGCTAGAACCATTTTTTAGGGAATCAAGATAATCTTTTTTTGACTTATTTAGGACAAAGATGGTGCTCCTTCTGCATCCTACATATAACATCCCTGCCACAGGAGAAATACCCTCTGCCCCCAGAGGTCCCACCTACCTTTTCTGCACCTGAAATGCAAATACCTTGTAACCCAAATACCAGTATGAGTCACAGTGTTTTTGGCCCATGGTTTTTGAGTAGTAACTCAAATGAGTAATGAGTGGCTTAGTGAATGGGGGTATTAGTGGTTTGGTGTTTGGAAGTGAGAGGACCCAAGCAGGTATCGGTGGAGGGAATCAGCTGCCCATTCAATAACCAAATATACCTTGTGAGAAACAGAAGGTAATAGTTGAATGAAGAATCTGAGGCTTCAACCTCCATGTGCCCCATGACCTAGGAGCATACAGGCCCAGCTTCAAAGTACTGGTGTGCAAGGGAAATATCTTAATAAATTCCACATGCTGTGGCACAGCTTAGCTCCAAAGAACTACTTTAGCTGAATAAAATTGCTCTTTCAGGCATGAAACCACAAGACCTACTGTTTCTGAATAATAGAAGTACTCTCAGCAAGGAAATTTGGTCACCTGTAATATCTAGAGCATAATCTAAAGATCTTAAAAAAAAAAAAAAAAAAAGTAGGTGTCTAAAATGGAATATAGGCACAATTAAGGTGCATATATTGAAAACTGTAAATTTGAAGTTCTTTACTCAGCCCTAACTCACTCATGGAGGTACTTAAACTCCACAGTTTCCTGATATTATACTTTATTTAACTTTACAGTGAAACCTGGATCACTTGTTCGGAATCTAAGAGAATCCATCTGAGTTTCCTGCCCAGCTGGAGTTGATTCAAACCCAAATCTCTTGCTTTTCTCACAGAAGAGAGGCCCAGCCACTACGATATAGGCTACAGAGGACAGAGTGGAGTATGAGGAGGCAGAGAGCCTCTGTTGTCTCTCTGAATGAAGCTGTTCCACTGTGCAAAAAAGCCTTCAAAATTCAATAGGTTAAAAGAGAGGCTAAGAGGAAATATAGTCACACATAGTGTATAATCTAGTAATTTGTGCCTTCACCTGGCAGAAGGACATCTGCACACCATCCCTGCTCCGGCACCTATCTGCATGCTTTTATATGGAAAAATCATTGGATAAAATAAAAAAAAAATCTAGACCTATGTTCTTTATTTTAACTTTTTATTTAATTGGATTGTCTGTAATCTGTCTGTGTGGGAGGAGCCCTTATCAGAAGTATGAAGCTTTTCTTGCTGAATGGAAGGAAGTTGCTGTATCAATTGCATGAGCTAGTTTCCAAGTAGACCTGATGATCCCACAAAACAAAGAACTGCTTATAAAATATATCTTAATTGCACAGAAAGCATAAAATCAAAGGCAGTTGTTTTTAATCCGTGGTGAGAGCTTCCATGGATCTCTGCTACTCTCTACAGAGGAAGAAAGTATACCCAGCCTGATAGATTACCCAGTTGTCTATACACAGTATGGACCTTCTCAGAAAAAGCTCAGAAGGATAATAATTCATAATATTCCTCCTTCCCCTCTCTGTCTTGTTCTGTGTTTAGGTGAGGCCTGATTGCACAAACATCCTGGCAAACACAGCTGAGAAATTTGGGGGTCTCAGTGCCTTGCTAGTTTTGTGCAAAGATTTTATTCAGGATCTGTTCTGATCCCTAAATTTGAGCCTTCTGTGCTTTACTGATGTGCATTTACAGCTGGACAATTCCCAATACTGTGAGAAGCAGTATGCAGAGCTTTTCATGAGGTTAGAAAACGAATCCAGAATTTAACAAACCATTGTTTATCTCATTATATGCATCTTCAGAGAGCCAAGAGCAACCTACGCAGTGCCACAGTTCTGTGGATTAATTCACAGCTGATGAAAACAGATTGTTCTTAAAAGCAAAAGCTGTATTGTTTGAATGTTCTGTCTTGAGTCTTGATACACTATGTTACCCACTGCCTGTAGGAGTCACAAGACACAGATGATGCTGTTGCCAATCTAGCCTCAGTGAGCACAGTACCCATTATGTTTCACTAACAAATTTACTTAAAGGAGCATTCACTAGTTGGCTGGCACTTTTTTCTCCATTTTGTCAAATAGATGAATGTCATGGAAGCCAAGGGTAGGTGAGGGTTTGAAATATTACAAGCAGAAGCCTCTTGCTAAGATAATATAAAACCAATTTTTGCTAACATATCTCTGAGGAGGAAATAGGCTGGAGATCACCATGAGGATTTTTTTCTAGCTGTAAAATTTTGTTAAAATACAAGCAAAGAAGAAAAAGTGTCAAACCTATCAAACTTAACTCAGTGCTGAAACTTCAGTCTTTCTTAGGACAATGCTATTTGAAATTGCCACATCATTCAGTTTTAAGTAATTTGCATACCAAATGCAAAATAATGATTAAATGGAAACTTCTCCTCCACCCTCCTACTGAGACATAT